ACAGAAAGTAGTGTATTTGGCTTATATTTATAGCAGGTTTATTCGTATTTATAATAATGGCCCAAGTGCATATTGTAAACATGTAGAACGTAGAGAATAATTAATTGTACCAAGCAGGAAGTAAGAGTTTTGTCCACACCTCCTTGGTCCACAGCGCCTGGCGTGGACACTGTAGCCAGTGTGGTGCCTATGCAGCCTGTCCCTCTTTATACAAAATCAGTGTGTTTTCCAGCTCTCTACCTTTTTATTTTCTTTGTTTTTCTCATTCAGAATAGTCTCCTTAGTCTGTTTTTTTAAATTGAACTCCAGATTTTTATTTCTCAGTTCTGAAATGGAGTTTTATTGGGTTAAAGTAAATGCTTTCTATAGTGCTGAGACCTCAGGTTTATCTAGCTAAGTTTTTAGGTTATCATGTTATATACTCTGTGAACGTTGGCAAGGTTTAACGAAGGTGGGGATACAATTTCAAAGTTTGTTGTAAGAACTTTCTTTTGTTCTTTTTGAGGTAGTAAGAAAAGTTCTCAGGAACTATGTTTAGGATAATTTCAAGAAATCAGTTGAAACCAGTGTGTCTCTCCAAAGTCCTTGTGCTTTCCTCACTTGCCCTTTCTTGGTGGCCTTGACAGGACAAAGTGGGGCCCACCCACGAACTGGTCCAGAGCCTCATCTCCACTCACTCCACTATTGATGCCAAGATGTCTTCAAGTAGAGTGACACTGTTTTCTGATTCCAAACCACTGGGGTCAGAGGATATAGATAACCAAGGGTAAGTTTCCTTATTTTTAATTAAAAAAAATTATATTGCAGAAGATTATATTTCTTGTAATTCTGCTGCTGTAACACTTTTTGGTGGGATTTGTCCAGGGTGTTTAGTTTTGCTTTGCATATGCATGTGTTTCCTAGTGCACTTTTCACTTACATAACCTTACATGGAAATACTTACTCAAAATTAATACAGGATTCATTTTTCAACAGACCCAAAATATTCCTCAAATACAACAGATTCTTTTCCGTAGGTTGCTTTTTGTTTCTTAGGAGACCTGAGGCCACTTGGCTTTCTTTTGGCTTTTTCAAAATCCTAGAGCATACTCTGAGAGCTCATTCAGTGGCTGTCTAGAAGCTATATATCTTGTCTCTGAAAGTTCTGTGTAGATTTTGTTGTTTCTCCTGTGGGTAGATTTCCACTAATGTTTGGCTTATGTGAATTATTTTTCAGTTTGGGCTGTCTAGAAGCTATATATCTTGTCTCTGAAAGTTCTGTGTAGATTTTGTTGTTTCTCCTATGGGTAGATTTCCACTAATGTTTGGCTTATGTGAATTATTTTTCAGTTTGGGTTGGGAATTTGTATTCCTTTATACGTGGTGGGTGTTTGCAAAACATTGGCTTTGTTGTATTGATTTATGAGTCCCAATAAAAATTAACCTGAAAATGACTGACATTGTCTAGTATATAATTTGTTGTAGCATCCATAAACTACTTAGCGTGATGCCTGATGAGTGAGAAGAATTCACTAAAAGATCACCATTTTTCGAATCAGTGTTGTTGTTATTGGCTGTTTGCATTTTTGTATATTCTTCTAGTCATCTTTGTGTACATGGATACTCTTTTCTAACATAACTGCAGTTATAGTATGTATAAAATTCTTATTTCTAAGCATTTCCTTTTTCTATAGTCTTTATATGAGGGTACTTCAAAAAGTTCGAGGAAAATGGAATTAAAAGGTAATACGAATCTTTTCATGAACTTTTTGAAGACCCCTTGTATAGTCATCATTTTGTTATTATTGGTGTAGCCTAATTTACCATTCTCTTAGGCAAAACTTCTGGTTTTTTCTAATTGATGTTTTCTTAATTTTACATATAATGCTACGTTAAATAACTTTATTATCATTTTTATTTCACCCCGTGGTTTTAGCATCTTAATGATTCTTCCGTATCAGTTATGGCATTGGTGACTTTGAAATCGTGATTTTCTTAATTTGTCATTTCTTCTACATTGTTTAACAAAGAGCTTTCACCTCTCCCTTTATATCAGTATCACTGTTCACGGATAGACTTTCGTTTTGTTCCATGGTCTTAATCCCGTTACTATCATTATTCTTTCTGATACTTCCATTGTCCCAGATTTGGCTGTGGGAGTCCTCAGTCTCCTGTGTTCTTTTGGCACATCCCCATTAGTCTTTGAGCACTTCTTGCTTTGACACAACAGGATAGTCTAGGCTTACTTTGTCTTCTCCCTGCTTTAGGCCTGGAGTTGGCCATTTCTGTAAGGACTGTGTGTTCCCAGCTTGGAAGTTAATCAGTCTTCTGAAAGATCTTCTAAAATTAACTTTCCTTTTGATCAGTTTTTTCCTAAAGTTGGATTTTATTTTTTTTAAATTATTCTTTATTTATTCTCTCTATAAGTTCTTTTGAAGTGTGTTATGAAACCAACCATGAGTTTGCCTATTAACTAGTCCAGTGTTTATTGAATAATTATTTCTATACTCTGTCATTAATCCATTCCTTGACATTTTATTTTTCTTTGCATTTTTATCAACTATATTGCCCTTTCTAAACTGGCTGATCATTGTACAGATTGAGTTATTTTGCACTTATTTTATAATATAGGCTGTGGATGCCAAAAGAGGAAAAGCAAGTGGATATGAAAACTGGTCGAGTACGTCGGAAAGCCATTTTTGGAGATAAAGAAGATGAGTCTGGAGATAGTGACGATGAAAATGATGATGAAGATGATGAAATATCTGAGGGTGATAGGTCGGAAAATGGCTCTAGTGGTGATGAGA